TTAAATTTAGGCATCAAAACCGCTTGGTTAAGGTTAGGCACTAAAGCCTCTTAGTTAGGTTTAGGGACCAAAACCACTTTGTTAGGTTTAGGCACTAAAACCGCTTGGTTAGGTTTAGGCATCAAAACCACTTGGTTAAATTTAGGCACCAAAAACCACTTGGTCAGCTTCAGGCACCAAAAACCACTTGGTCAGGTTTTGGTTAGGTTTAGGGACCAAAACCACTTGGTTAGGTTTAGGCAACAAAAACAGCAGAGCTTACTCGGGTACTACTTACAGAGCAAGTGAATCAATATTTAGTCACTCAACGTAGGAAAGTAGGAATAGTTTTGTTAGGTTTAGGCATCAAAACCGCTTGGTTAAGGTTAGGCACTAAAGTCTCTTAGTTAGGTTTAGGCATCAAAACCGCTTGGTTAGGTTTAGGCATCAAAACCGCTTGGTTAGGTTTAGGCATCAAAACCGCTTGGTTAGGTTTAGGCATCAAAACCGCTTGGTTAAGTTTAGGGACCAAAACCGCTTGGTTAGGTTTAGGCACTAAAGCCGCTTGGTTAGCTTCAGGCACCAAAAACCACTTGGTCAGCTTCAGGCACCAAAAACCACTTGGTCAGCTTCAGGCACCAAAAACCACTTGGTCAGGTTTTGGTTAGGTTTAGGCATCAAAACCGCTTGGTTAGGTTTAAGGACCAAAACCACTTTGTTAGGTTTAGGCACTAAAACCGCTTGGTTAGGTTTAGGCATCAAAACCACTTGGTTAAATTTAGGCACCAAAAACCACTTGGTCAGCTTCAGGCACCAAAAACCACTTGGTCAGGTTTTGGTTAGGTTTAGGCATCAAAACCGCTTGGTTAGGTTTAAGGACCAAAACCACTTTGTTAGGTTTAGGCACTAAAACCGCTTGGTTAGGTTTAGGCACCAAAAACCACTTGGTCAGCTTCAGGCACCAAAAACCACTTGGTCAGGTTTTGGTTAGGTTTAGGCATCAAAACCGCTTGGTTAGGTTTAAGGACCAAAACCACTTTGTTAGGTTTAGGCACTAAAACCGCTTGGTTAAATTTAGGCACCAAAAACCACTTGGTCAGCTTCAGGCACCAAAAACCACTTGGTCAGGTTTTGGTTAGGTTTAGGCACCAAAACCGCTTGGTTAAATTTAGGCGTCAAAACCGCTTGGTTAGGTTTAGGCGTCAAAACCGCTTGGTTAGGTTTAGGCATCAAAACCGCTTGGTTAGGTTTAGGGACCAAAACCACTTGGTTAGGTTTAGGCAACAAAAACAGCAGAGCTTACTCAGGTACTACTTACAGAGCAAGTGAATCAATATTTAGTCACTCAACGTAGGAAAGTAGGAATAGTTTCGTTAGGTTTAGGCATCAAAACCGCTTGGTTAGGTTTAGGGACCAAAACCACTTGGTTAGGTTTAGGCAACAAAAACAGCAGAGCTTACTCAGGTACTACTTACAGAGCAAGTGAATCAATATTTAGTCACTCAACGTAGGAAAGTAGGAATAGTTTCGTTAGGTTTAGGCATCAAAACCGCTTGGTTAAGGTTAGGCACTAAAGCCTCTTAGTTAGGTTTAGGGACCAAAACCGCTTGGTTAGGTTTAGGCATCAAAACCGCTTGGTTAGGTTTAGGCATCAAAACCGCTTGGTTAGGTTTAGGGACCAAAACCACTTGGTTAGCTTCAGGCACCAAAAACCACTTGGTCAGGTTTTGGTTAGGTTTAGGCACCAAAAACAGTACAGCTTACTCAGTTGCTACTTTCAGAGCAAGTGAATCAATATTTAGTCACTCAACGTAGGAAAGTAGGAATAGTTTCGTTAGGTTTAGGCATCAAAACCGCTTGGTTAAGGTTAGGCACTAAAGCCTCTTAGTAAGGTTTAGGGACCAAAACCACTTGGTTAGGTTTAGGCATCAAAACCGCTTGGTTATGGTTAGGCACTAAAGCCTCTTAGTTAGGTTTAGGGACCAAAACCGCTTGGTTAGCTTCAGGCACCAAAAACCACTTGGTCAGGTTTTGGTTAGGTTTAGGCACCAAAAACAGTACAGCTTACTCAGTTGCTACTTTCAGAGCAAGTGAATCAATATTTTGTCACACAACGCAGGAAAGTAGGGGCATGTCAAAGTAAGGTAAGGAAACACTGGACACACGACTGAACGAAAATCAGTTTTATTACAAAATGATTCATCAAAGTTCACTCAGAAAACTAAAGCTTCTTCTAAAATATTTCTTTTTAAAACAGATTCCAGTGAAGTACATCACAACGCGTCTGGACTGAGATTAAAATGAAGAGTCAAAGCAAAAACTGAAAATCCAGGGTTCTCACTGAGACTATAGCAGTGGTTCCCAAACTGGGGGTCAGGACCCCTCCTGTGGGTCGCCAGTTAAATCTGACAGGCCGAAGGAAAAACTAAAACCTGCTGCTTTTTTTGTTGCTTTAATGTAAAAAGAATTTCAACAAATTTAACAAAAAAATGCATCTATAAATAACCCTACCTTAGCTTTAACCTTATGCTTGGAAATATTAGATTGTTTCACCTGAAACAATAATTCAAATGACCCAATCTAAGAGGTTGTGAGGTGGGAACGCTCACAACTCAGACATTTAAAAACCTCTTTATATAAGCTTTATTTCAACAAGCCTAAAAGCTTGGGAACCACTGGACTAAAGAACAGAGCTGAATGCTAGCACGTTAGCTTCCAGCTGTGTTGGTCTCAGCTAACAATGCTGAAGAACATACCTGAAGAGAACCGGATAATTTGTTTCTGTCTAATGGAAGATCATAAAACTCTCTGTGCTGTGATTATAACATTATTCACTTATGTTCTTGCAGAGACACCAGTGAAACTTAATGGATAGTTTTAGTATTTTTAAACCTGGGCACTATTTTCACATATTTTGGTGTTGAAATGACTAGCAGGTTGAAAACGTTTTGAATCCGTGCAGTAGATGCTTCAGCCGGCAGCTGAACCATCTGCAACGCATTCCTTTGAGGCGATTGCTCCCATTAAAATGGCGTCCTCAAAAAGTGCTTCTTTTCGCCACAGACAGCCTCAGACTGTAATGGTGCGTTCCATCTGTACTCGGAGTTCTGAGACCAGAATTGACAAATGGAACGACCCCGATGTCGGACTTCCTACTCGTCAACTCTTTGGTCTTTTCTGTGTCAAACTGAGCAAGTCGTATATGTAGGTGCAAAATCCGTACTGCTTGCCGGTCTCTATCTGCACATGCGCAAAAGCGGTCTTGTCAGCCAAAGAAGGTTACCACAAATGTGCCTGTTCATAATTACTAATTTTTTGTCCACCAATACAGATGCTTTCAGAAAGGCTGACAAAGCGTTACTTGATGCAAAAGGTACCCTTCAGCGTGCAACCTGCAAAACTGTCTGCTTCTTTCTGAGATTGGTATTCAGAGACACCCAATTTCTAGAAGCTCTTCATCCGAATACTCTGCTCCAAGTAAATACAGGCCGTCACCGAATTTAACTGACTCCTCTCCATTATTAAAATCAGCTATAAATTCAGCCATGATTTAGGAAAAAAAGTCTTGCTAGCAGTTCCACCATGTACACAACTAACTCCGCTCTTAAACTCATTGATTTCAGAGCGAGTCTTCAGTTCTACTGCACAGACTTCAAAACTTTTTATAACCTCCAGTAATTCCAACCCAGAAATATCTTCCTGTAACAACTCGGCACTCACGAGATTTCAGAGCGAAAACTGTCCTTGAGCAAGACTTAAAGAGGTGGTATTCTGCTTTTTGGCGTTTTCCCTCTCCTTTCTTGAGTTTATACCTTTTCTGTGCATGTAACAGGTTTGCAAAGTGAAAAAGCCCAAAGGGAGTTCCCATCTCCCACAGAAAACTCTGCTCTGAAAAACGCTCGTTTGTAGTCCAGCCGTTTAGCTTTCATCCCTGTGACAGGGATGAAAGCTAAACGCGCCTCATATAACGCTCGCCAAGCGGCTACTCCGACACGCCCTCAGAAACAGCGAGCTGCAGCACACAGCTCTCCTCTCCCTTCCAAACACTAGCTGCCCTCCAGGCAGTCAGTGGACATAAAGTTGTTCCTGTGATGTAGAGACAGAGCTCAGTTAAAACTTTATGGATGAAAGATACTTTTCTGGTACAACCCCTAAATAAGATCTGAACGTGAAAATGAGCAGAATATCACCTCTTTAACAGATTTAACTGTTAAAAACAAAGGGTGTCACCAGGAGGCCCTCGTAGGGATCCTTTCCATGATGTTGACAGAAACCTGGTATAACAGTCTGAAACAAGAAGAACAACAAACAAGAAGCACTTTTTGGGGACGCCATTTTGACGGGCACAACTGCAGCCGCTGCAGATGGTTTAGCTGCCGGCTGAAGCATCTACTGCACAGATTTAAAACTTTTTCTACCTACTAGTCATTTCAACACCAACATGTGTGGAAACGGGGCCCAGGTTTAAAAAATACTTAAATTATCTTAAATGCAACACTGTTATCTTGCTATCATGATCCCGCTGTACGTAAGAAAGCCAAACATTACAGATGACAGATGTGATCCCAAAATAGAGTCCCAACAAACATCACAAAAAAAAGAAAAAAAATCAACCTTACTAAATTCTCAAGAACAAAACCTGAAGAAAAACAAATGGACAAAATATCTCCTGCATCATCTCTCTAGAACAATTTTTTTCTTCTCCAAAACAAATCAACTAAACAAGTTCAACATGTTTCATCATCAACAGATTAGTGCAATCGGAGTTATAACAAGACACAAAGTCAACTTCAGAGTTTAAATGCTGAAGTTTCTGTTCACAGAAACGGTCTGCTGTTCATGTTGTTAGTCTTAACATGGAGTCTCTCAAGGAAGCGTCCTGGGGCCTCTGCTGTTTCTACTAAAACTGATGTAGATTTAAAGGAACAGTTCAACATTTAGGAAATCCTCTTGTTCTCTGTCTTTTCCAGAGTCACAGGAGAAGATGAAGGTCCAGTACAGAGATGGGTTCAGGCCAGGAATTAAGATCCTGTTCTGCAACTTTAATAAGCACTTATAAACTCAACACAACCACAGGACCTCTGAACGTTATTTTCCAGCATGAAGGGCCAAAGAGAGTTTCAAAGAGAGTCTAAATAACACAGGAATCAGCCCCAAAACTGTCAATGCTTAACCACAGAATATAAAATAAAATGACATTTTAAAAGCAAAAAAAATTTTTAATCCTAGATCCCTCAAATTCCCAGAAAAATAAAGAGAACGTTGTCTCACAAGAAGCTTCAGCCCTGGGTCAATGGGTAGCTTTGCTTAGCACAAAGACTGGGAGCAGTGGGAAACTGTTAGCCTAGCTTAGCATAACATAAAAATATCGGTGTAGGGTTGGTGGGGCCGTTTGGTCAGAACAGTTTCCTGTCTCTGCTGCCCCCTGCTGGCTCCTGTAGGGGAGCTAACAGCTGACTATGACGCCATGTGTCTTAATGCGTATTTTTTTTAATATGTGGGCGTGGATTTAAAACTGTAAATGCCTTCTTTTTTTTTTTTACAAAGTGATTTCCAGATAAAAAAAAAAAAGTCATATTGCGCCAATTAGTTGATTCATCGATCTACAGAAAATTAATGCAACTATTTTGCTAATCAATTAACCGCTAAAGCTGCACTTCCAAATATTAAAGTGTGTCTTCTACAGTAACAAAATGAATGTGTTTGGATTTTGAATTGTTGGTCGGACAAAAAAAAGGACGTTTGAAGGCGACGTCTCGGACTCAGGACAGTTTTCTGACATTTGTAGACCAAGCAATTAATCGACAAAATAATTGTGTAATTTTTCGATAAATAACCGTTAGCTGCGGCCATAGTGCTAATAATACGACAAATAGGAATTGAAAGAATAGTTCTATTTAAAACCAGGTAAAGCTATATTAATCGTTAATTTATTATTAGACATTTTATTCTTATTTTAATCTGCTAAGCTGGAATGAAAGACTCGAGGTAAATTTTTTTGAAAATAATTTTAAGTGTATTAATGCAACACTGTCATTAGCACTTAATTAGAGTTCTTACCAGGAAGCAAGGATTACGCTGCAGCCCTGTTTCAGATCAGCAGTCGTGTTAAAGGGTAATTCAACCTGGATACTATGTTTTTGTATCTATGTGGCTAATTGGAACATTTTTTTAAATTGGTCCAGTACTGCAGCGTAATCCCTGCGCCCCGTCAAAGTACAGCTGCTTTTTCCCTCCGACAGGCTCAGATTGTAAACACAAGTGTCTGACAACATTATAGAAAGGATCCCTACAGAGAGAGAAGATCCTTTTTGTTCAAACAGAAACAGTCGCTATATTGCTATCGTCAAAGCCATCAGACTCCATTGATAAAAATGTTACAGAGAGACTAAGTCACTCTCTTCCGCTTCCGGCCCATGGGATCTTATTTCGAAAAAAATATGTACGGTAGTCAACGGCAAGAGACAACTTATTTTTTGATCCTGTTTGAACTTGAGTTACACACGATGTTTGTCAACTTAAAAGATAATTTTGTCCACCAAGAAAGTTGTAGTTTGACATAAATCAGTAAAGTTACATGTAGTTTTGTGTGAAAACTGTTCAATGAACTATATCTCTCGTCTCGCACAATATACGTCACCAACATTTTGGCTTGGTAATGCTAAGCTAACGTTCATTGCTTGGTTGCTGCTAGCTAGATAACTTAGCCATGTTCCACGCAGAAATAAATCTCACCTGATGTGTTTAATCCAACGATTCTCGGTCACTGAAACACAAAGTTATGACGCCACATACACGACGTTTGGGTTTGTGGTCTTTGTTATTATGTATTTTCAGTCTGATGCTTCAACAGTTTTATATCAAACTGCGACTTTCTTCACTTTCAAATGTACATTTTAAATTGACCATCATCTTGTGTGTAATTCAGAGCACAATTCAAACAGGATCAAAAAATTTGTTGCCTCTTGCCGTTGACTACCGTACATTTTTTTCCCGAAGTAAGGTCCCATGGTGGTCCATGGTGGAAGGGGAGGGGCTTAGGCACTCTATTGTGTTTTTAACCTGTTAATACACCAAAGTCACACAATAACACACAAACTAACCGACCAAGGCAGCTAGCTGTAGACCAGAGAGGTAAAATTACTGGGGGGGTTTTTCCAATGTAGTCTGGTGGCTTTGACGAGAGCGATTTAGCGACCGTTTGTGGTTAAACAAAAAGGATATTACTTTTTTCTAAAAAAGTCTCTCTCTGTAGGGATCCTTTCCATAATGTTGTCAGACACTTGTAACAACAATCTGAGCCTGCCAGCGGCAAGAGAACAAGTTCTGTAGTGGACGAACTTTGATGGGTTTTAATAAATGTGCCAATTACTCACATTGACACAAAAACATGGGCAAATGGGGTCCAGGTTGAACAATACTTAACTTTAGCCCTTTAATTGTGTCACCAAAACAAATAAAATTGTTGACGACCTTTGTTATGACAAAAGATTCATTTTCAGGCTTTTTTTTAAAAGTATAAACTGGATAGGTTTATCTCTCGAGTCCAACGTTGGGACCAGATCCCTACAGGAAAATGAACACCTTAGGTTTGGAAATGTAAAGTATGCAACAACAAAATTTACTGTAATAACAAATATAATGTATACGGGAGTTTAGGAGCTAAAACACTCTGATCTGGTTCTTCATCCGGTCATTTACAGTTTTTAATGGATTTATAGCTGCTCTGCTTTTCAGTTCAGGAGTGTAACAGCAGCGCTAACAGGACGCTCACCTGCACGTCTGAGCGACAGGTGCAGCACCAGTCACCTGAGGCTGGGGGCGGGGCTCAGTGTGCATTGTTGGGTGGGGATCAGAGGTTATTTTCCTGCTGATAATCTGATCCGGAAGGCAGTTTAATGAACATGTTTGTTGCACAGAAATTGAAGAGTAAACAGTAAGATAAGGCCGATTTCAGAGTGGGAACTCTCTTATGTGAGTGTTGCATTGTGGGATGTCAATAACTGCACATGTCCATGATATCACAGGTGTTAACTTCATTTGGTTGATCCTAAACCCACTGCAGGCTGTAAACAGAGTAAAGGCTGCACTGAAAACAGTCTGTGAACGTTAAAGGCTCACCAGCCGAGGTAGAGCCGCGTTTTCTTTGGTTGATTTGCGCCAAAACTTTCCCAAAATCTTCCGGACTCACAGCTGGATCGTGCCGTTATTACAGACCCGCTTCGCTGTTATTACCGACCGACGGAGGTGGCGAAGGCACGGAGGGTTTCTTGTGCGATGACTTTAAAGGTTAAAGTTCAAAGTGTAGAGACATGAGCCACCTCCCAGAGTCCATCTGCACATTCAGTGTTTTGTGTTCAAACAGCAGCTCTGCAGCCTGAAGGCGTCTTACATTCTTCATACGTCATACTGCACATCTTATTTACACTAGAAAAATAGAGTTAGCAAAATAAAAAACATTTCCCGGCCCCTCAGGAGCGCTTATTTGCAGGTTATTGCTTTGGAGTCGGTCCATCCTGCAGAGAAGAACAAGACAACAGTGTGAGACTTTGGGAGTTTGAACACAATAAGAATCAGAACCAGTTTTATTGCCAAGTAGTATTTTACAAGTACAAGGAATTTGCTTTGGTAAGAAGGCTCTACATGCAGACAAACATACAGTTGACATAAGTGAATGTAAAAATATATAAAGATGGAATAAACAGACGCACGTTATGAAAGAATAGAACTATGTGTAGGGAAAGAACAACGTGGCAGATATTTACATGTGCATTTCTCCAGGTTTGTGCTGTGCAGACGTGTTACAGGGAGAGAGGATTTGTATTTATATAAATATATAAACTGATAAAATATAAAAACAGAGACGGAGACAGAGTTTATAAGCTTAATGGGGAATAAAGCAAAACGATCAGCTGGAACCTTTTTTCCCCCCGACAACAAAGGACAGCGTGACTCTCGTCATCAAAAACTGAAAACATTAGTTTTTCCCCCCGCACAATAAAAAAATTAGACTTTAACTGTACTTTCAAATAAAGTAATACGAAAGCTGAAAGCAGCTTGGGTTTGTTTGGGATCAGAAGCCGTGTTAAAGGGTAACATCTGTATTTTTCAACCTTTTCCCATGTGTTTGTGTCTATGCGACAGTCGGCAGCAGTCAAACAGCTCTGCAGAGTAATCCTTGCACCAAAGAGCTTGTTTTTGCCGCTGACAGGCTCAGATTGTTATTGGTGTCTGACAACATTATGGAAAGGATCCCTGCAGAGAGAGACCTTTTTATTTTATTTTTTTTAAAGAGAAACATCCTTTTTTGCTATATTTCTCTCATCATGGCCACCAGACTACATTGATGAAAAACAGTAATTTTACCTCACAGAACACAGGAGTTGCTGCCTCACTCTGTTTGTTTGTGTTGTTGTGTGACTTGGTTGTTTTAAAAGTGTAAATACACCAAAGTCAAACAATAAGACAAACAAACTAACCGGCCGTGGCAGTTAAAAATTAAGGTACATAAATAAGAGGTAAAATGACTGTTTTTATTAATGGAGTCTGGTGGCTTTGACGAGAGCAATATAGTTAAACAAAAAGGATTTTACTCTTTTAAAAAAAGGTCTCTCTCTGTAGGGATCCTTTCCATATATTTGCTCAACCGCTCAGCCTGTTTTTATTTTCCATTTAACTCTTTTAACCCTGATTGTACACTGCACTGTAACTTTTATTATTTTTTAATGTGTATTTTTTCAATTTCCCTATGTTGCTTTTAAACTTTTTTTTTTTTTATATTTCCCTGTTGCTTTTATGTTTTATGTAAAGCACTTTGAATTACCTTGTTGTTGAGATGTGCTATACAATTAAACTTGCCTTGCCTAATGTTATCAGAGACTTGAATTAACAATCTGAGCTTGTCACCCGCAAAAACAAACACTTCAGTGGACACAGTTTGACGGAAGGATTATGCTGAAGCCCGGTTTCACTGCTGCAGACTCCGGTGCGCTCGCTCAGTACTGGACCAAATATGTTGTACAGATTAGTCTGATAAAAACAAACACATGGGGAAATATGGTCCATGTTGAAAAATACCAAACTTACCCTTAAACTGTGTCAACGAAAAATATTTTTTGACGATTTTTGCTGAATTGGAACCAGAAGTAGTTTGTTTAAACAGGGATTTAGAAGCAGCGTTAATTTGAACAAAAACAACAGAGAAGGTTAAAGGAGACCTATTATTCTGCTTTCTAGTCCTGTATTGTAGCTCTGTGACGCCTGCATGTAGGCCTTCATTTCAGCCTCTCTCTGAAACAAGCTGTAGATGCTCCTGTCTCTTTAAGGCCCCCCCTCTCAAAGCCCACTGTCTTCTGATTGGCCAAGACCTGAAGCATGTTACCAGGCTGCTGTTGTTGCTGGGCGGAACAGGCAGACTGAGCCGTTGCTGGGCAGTTGCTATCTCTCTCTATCTCTCTCTATATCTATACACATATTGTTTTTTTAAATGAACTAAATAAAAATAAAAGATTTGTCTATTAATATACACAAACTTTTACGGTTTTATCCATTTATTTTAATTATTTTATATATTATTAATTTTATATTATAATATTTAATTATTATATTATAATAACACACAGTTTTATTTATTTATTTTATTTTACAGAATTTTTATATTTTATATATTTTTTATTGTTACTTTATTTTGTATTAACACACACACACACACACACACACACACACACACACACACACACACACACACACCTTTTGCCGTTTTATTTCCCTATCTAATGAAATGTATGAAATTAATTGTACTTATGCACTTTATATGTAGGTTTGGCAATATTGTTGCTATACATTCATGCCAATAAAGCTAATTTGAATATTTTAACCTCATTATTTGAAGCTTTGGCCACGTTTAACATGAACATCCAACATTATAACATTGTCGATAAGTCATAAAATGTGGAAAAGTATAACAGGTCTCTTTAGTTTACCTGCGCTCAGGACCGGAAGACGTGAACGGCTCGGACGACGTACTGGCGGCAGACGGGGCACTCGCTCATCCTCTTGCCGCACTTGGTGCAGGTGATCATGTGACCACACTCCAGCAGGACGCAGTCGATGGGAGAGTCCATACAGATCTTACAGAGGTTCTCATCAAGACCGCCGCCAACGCCGTCGCCAGACTCTGGAGGGAGACAGAGACGTACGAAGCACTGTCAGGGACAATCCTTATTTTTATTATAGATTAATCTGAAGATTATTTCTTTGATTATTCAAATAATTGTTTGGTCTTAATAAAGTCAGAAAATACTTCAAACTGAGATTCGTTGATCATCAAAACAGTTATAATTATTTTCTGTTGATCGACTAATTGATTTATCAGTCACTGGTTTCAGCTTTATAACACTATGGATTAAATATTAACACACAGAAATAAAATGAAATAATAATAATAATAATAATACTTATTTGTAGAGCACTTTTCAAAAACAAGTTACAAAGTGCTTTAACAAGTGTAAAGACAATAATACAGAAACAATACAAGATAAAAGCATGGAAACATTGAAAAGACTAAAATACACGTTTAAGATAAATATAAAATTAGTAAAATAGAATGAAATAAAAGGGATAAAATAAAGTCAAAAATCCTGAACTCATTATTCTAAACTGTTTTTCTGTTGTTCAGTTTTCTTATCTGATATGAAGACATGAAGAGGATCTTATGCAGCGAGATGTTCTGCTAAATTCGGACGATTCACAGAAAACTCACCTGAAGCGTTCAGAGCGTTGGCAGCTGAAAGAAAAAACAACAAAAGCTTTTTGTTATTTTAATGAACTGACACCATCTCCTGAAGGAAAACTGCTGCAGAGAGGAGCAGGTGATAAAAAGCTGATTAATGACGTTAAACAAAAACATTATGATTCCCACTCATTAGTAAATTTTAAAGTTAAATGCATTAATCAGATGAAATAAGCTACTAGAAATAGTTTTAAAAACCCACTAACACAGACACCTTCTTTATGAGACATGTGGAACGCTGAAAAACGCTTCCACACGTTTGGCTCGATCGACTGATGCAACAAAAACAGCATCAATTTAAACTCAGTTTGTCCTCCTGTTCACCTTATTAGTAAGAATAAATTGCACTGCATGAAAGAATTAATTAATATGATTCCAAATTACAACATATTTGAGCAAAACCAGATATTAGTTAGTTAGTTTCTTCTTGCTCACTTCAGGGAAACTTTCATCTGTTTTGCATATAATACTAAATTATATTAAGTTTTATTGGCCTTTAATATTCAGATTTATTTTTCAAACCGTTTCTGCCATGTGAGTCGCCGTTTCTCTTTTCTCCAGTTTATGTTGGTACGCATGGCTGCGAGTTTTCGTGAAGGACAATTTTTTTTTTTTTATAGATCTCAAAGTTTGCTTTGAAAGTGGCGTTTATAAATGAGACCCTATGAACACAAAGAACCATCACTAGGGGTGTGACGAGATCTCGTATTTCACACGCTGTCAAGCCCAGCTGATCGGCGCTGTGAGTGCAGACAGCTGTGACGAGTGGGAACGTAGCCGGTAGAGTTTTGAAAACTGAAGCGCAGCCTGCTCTGTTTGGGACTGTGAGCTGCACTTTATGAGCTGCTGAAGTTAACCTGTGTGGATCTGTGCTGAGATTTCTGCCTGATCACAAGTGTTACTTTAGGTTTCACAAGCAACATCAGCGGATCAATAACGTAATGCAGCGCAGAGTAAAGGGCAGCTAGACTTCTCAGTAAATGACCACGTTAGTCTGGACGCGTCAGAGAACCCAGATCTGTGGGAGAGATTCTGAATGTGCAGAAAGTTTTGAACATGAGCAGAAAATCTGCTGAAACACAGGAGAAACTTCCTAACCAGCAGGATCCTATCCTAACTGGTAACCACGGTAATGAGGGTTAGGAACTGATTTAGGCCGTTACAGATTAACAGTTCCTGAGTCAGTGATCCTTTCCTAACTTTAGCTGGATAACGTCTCATTATAAAACATAGTGTGAAGGCTTGATGGAACAAAAGGATCCTGATGCAGCCGTTTGATTGGAGGAGATCGTTAAATTCAAGACATACATGAAAAACATGCTGACGTCAGCCCGCTGCCTTTATTATTAACTTTCCCGAGCAGAGTTGGGGTTTCTGCCGGGGTCAGTGAGGGAGGAGGAGCCACCGCCGGGACAAAACAGCTGCTTTCTCTTCGTATGACTTCTAAATGGACTGATTTTCTTTTTGACAGCATCAACGACCACAACTGTGAAACTTCTGCCTGAATTAGCTTTCAAATATATCCAGGGAGAAATGGAGATTTCGACACGGAGCTATTGAAGGTAACAGGCGCGAAAAAAACGACGAATGTTGAATATTAAACTAACTTCACCCCGGCGAGATGCTGCGGTGACTGCGCCCGCTGTGTTAGCCGCCCCCCCCTCTCTCTCTTTAATCTCCCCAGATAAGCGTCACGTCAATTTAAATTTCTCAACGGAGGTTACCAAAACCTCTGAGTCACCTGACTCGAAGTTCAGTGACAGTTGTGTGTATGTTTCATTAAAACACAGCGATTAAAAGCCGTTTAGCTCGGTTGCTAGGTAACAGACATAAAAGTTGATCACCGATGTTGGATCGACTGTTTAGGATTTCCTAACCTGAGATGGGATGAAGGGAGATAAGACAGGATTTCTAAAGTTAGTCAGGATTTGCTTCTGTAAAACCAAAGTGTGAAAAATCCCATCTGAGACTCTTCCCGTCTTAACTTCGGACTTCAGACAGGAACTTCCTGTAATGCGGCCCCTGGAGGTTATTACGGAATTAAAATTTAATAATTTCTCATTGAGGTGAAAAGGAGCCACAGTCACATTTCATAGAATTCAGCACTAAAGATTTCTTACAAATAGTGTTAAAATCTCATCCCGAATCTCGTCCGTCAGGCAAAGCTTGGAAAACGTCGCCCGCTCACCCCCCCCTGGACCTGGTCCTGGTACTCACCCAGCAGGTTCTGCTGGTCCTGGTACAGCCGGCTCACCCTCTCCATCAGCTCCCACTTCTCACAGCAGCCTTTGTAGTTGACAAAGTTCCTGGCGAGGATTTCCTTCAGCTGTCGCACGCTGAGCGCCTCGATGTCGTCCAGACAGCTCAGGTCCGACAGCGAGGCCCTGCGACCCATAACCGGGAAGTCCTCCGGGTCCCAGTTCTGAACCAGACAGGGAAAAGAATCAGTCTCCAAACACTTAGACCCTGACTTCTTCTCTAACAGCAGGACCGTGAGCTGGAGAAACATTTAAACTTTTCCAGGACAGTTCCATGACTGTGCAGATATATAGCAGTATAACTTCCAGGTTTTCCAGGACCCCTGTTCTAGATTTACCTGGTCTTCGTCCTGAACGTCAGGCTCGGCGGGGGACGTCTCTGTGGGCGGGGCTGGGGCTTCAGGTTGTGCAGCAGGGGGGTCAGGGGTCATAGCCGGGGTTGGGGGGTCCGGGGTCATAGCAGGGGTTGGGGGGTCCGGGGTCATAGCAGGGGTTGGGGGGTCAGGAGTCAAGGTGAAGATGTGAGGGGTCGGGTCAGGGGGTTCAGAGGTCACAGAGGGGGGATCAGTGGTCGGGGTCTCGGGGGCGGGGCCGCTGGATGGTGAAGGCTGCTGACCCAGGACCAGCTCCACCAGCTCCTCCTGCAGAACAGGAAACACGGGTGTCACTGGGGGGGCGGGGCCCTCAGGGGTCAAAGGTCAGGAGACAACACGTAGTAAGATAAACAAAGCACCTTCTCTCTGCACAGGTGGGTGGAGACCTCGTGCAGGTGCAGGTAGTCCCGCAGCTCCTTCACCTTCAGCTTCATCAGCTCCGCCCGCTGCAGCAGGTTGCCGTAGAAACGCTGACAGGTGTGACAGAGGCGGGGGCGGGGCTCCAGCTGGGCGGAGCAGCGGCTGCAGTAGTTCTTCTTACAGTCCACACACACATGCTGACGGACAGACAGGTGGGGGGGGGGCAGAGAGGGAGACAGGTGGGGGAGAGAGGTGAGGCAAAGACGCTGTGTGAGGTGAAGGGGGGCAGGTGCATGCAGGTGTTGTGAAAACGACAGGACGTTAGTAACTGGAGTCGAGCTGCACACCGACGCGGGCAGCTGATGACGCTTCTGTAAACACTTTGAGTCAGAACATCGCGAAGACACGCCGGCAAAATCAGCCGAGAGATCACAGAAAACAGACGCTCCTGCAGAACCTGCCTGAGAATATTCACGGTTTTAAGTTTTCTGCAGTATCCCGGTGATCCAGGGAGAGCGGTCTGTCCGAACACAGGTACAAAGCTAACAGGAGCTGCTAACTGCTAATTCGGCTACGTTTAACGGGGAGAATTACAAAGATACGGGCATCACTGCTGTCACATAACGTCGCAATTACAAAAACTCAACTTAATGTTTGGTGGCACAGCCTTTGGAAAGAATAAATGAAATCATTCGCCTCCTGTAACCAACAATAAGTTTCTCTCACCTCTGTAGTGGAATTTTGGACCACTCTGAAATGAAGTTATTCATTAACACGTCAGCATTAGGTCTACGTTCAGACAGCGAGCCCTGCAGCCGAGCTGGGATTTTAGGGAGGAGATCTTAATTGATTAATGGGACAGTTTCTGAGATGGAGCCCATCTGTAGGCTGTAACTGAATTCTCCTGAGTGTTTTCAAATATTTAAACTCACCATTTTACATGTCCAAAAAATACGGGGTCAGGGTTAATAAACCGAGAAATAAAACCTAGACGAAAGTGTGAAATTTACAGGAACAAAAATTGGAAATTCCCTGAAATTCACGTCACAAAATTTCTAAATCACCCTGTTCACAGCAAAGACTCTAAGGTGCATGATAATATAGTGAGTTATAGTGCAGTTGTACCTTTACATCTTAATCATATTACACATACAATAAGAACACTTGGATGATAACTGACCCTTCGCTAAGCCACGCCTCGAATACACAGCTGGCCAATCACAGCGCAGTATAGGACTCCCTCTAACTGAGGTTCCACACTTTCATGGCTGCGCTCCATTGACTCTGATGCAGAAAGAGTCGTTTTCCAGCTTTTTCTGGCTGTATTTTTCTAAGATCTGGTCAAACGCTGTTCCTGCGGCATCTTGTAATAATTACAGCAGCTACCAGAGAGGCTGAAAGGAACCTTTTAGTTCCTTAAAAAGAGATCTGGGAACTTAAAAGTCCCGGATTTGGTCGAAAAGCGGATTAACACACTGCGCCGGAGTCTAAAACCAAAAGCAGTGTTTTCTAACTTCTCTGTTTTAGGTGTTCAGATTTGCCGTTTTTCTCTAACAGGAAGCAGAAACGTAGCAGAAAGTCTGAGTGTGGCTGGAGCCTCAGTTTATTTGCTTAGTTTCGCTCTGTTCCTGGATGCTAGTAGGATCCTGATCATGTTGTATGAGAACCAGCACCTGTGAATGGCTACAGGTGAGCACCATAATGAACAATATAGGCGCACCAGCGCAACCAAAGTTACTCTGGAGCCCTTTAAAGTGATAACTTATGTAAAAAAAAAAAAATCCCTTCCATTCCCGGAGACAGTTTGGAGCCCCCCCTCCCACTTTGAAAACCTTAATTGAAGTGGACTGATGATTACTGATCTAGAAATTGGACTTACTTCAGCATCAGGAGCTGTTAAAACTGAGGGGGAAGGAGACAGACTGTTCAGGATTTACATGAGCGTTTACACTGGTGTCTACACCAGATTACATTAAAACTTTTACAAATTTTAATAAGAGTATAAACGAGGGGGCCAAACATTGTTGTTGGGAGTGCCAGATTGTTGTTTATGTTGTTTATGAGGAAAACATTTTCACTGCTTACCATGACTTTCTCAAGATCCTTTTTTAAAACACATTTCAGAAGATTTAGGAATTACCCAGAATTCAGAAAGACGACGGGGAAACTCCAGAACAAAGAAAACACAAAAGAAAACACAAAAAAAGGATCTGCCATCACGCTGTGATGATGTGACCAGCACAGGAAGTGAAGCTGAACGCTGAAGCACCTTAAACCAAGCGGGAAGCTTCCGGTCTACAATGTGAAGCCGATGCGGAAGCACCTGAAACCTGCATTCTCTCTAACAGCCAGCAGGGGGCGACTCCATTAAAAGAAGTGTGATTGTATAGAAGTCTGTGAGAAACTGTTTCTACTTGTCAGCTGATTTATTCCCTCAGTAAACACTTTCCTGATGAGTTTCTGGTCTCAGTCTCTAGTTTCAAGTCTTCTTCAACACAGCGTGATGTTCATTTAGTAAATTATGGTCCCATTTAGAGGAACAGAGACCAGGAAGCAGGGGAGGCTTTAGGGCGGAGCTACGTTGTGGTTGAAAAAAATCATATTAATTTATTAACACACACATATATAAGTTAGGGTTACCTTCTTGGTAGGCGTGTCGAATCGCCCCCCGCAGGCCTTACAGGTGTGTTCAGGTGCAAGAGGAGACGGCTGACTGCTGAAGGCCGAGTTGGTGTAGGACTGAGGACGTCGCTCACCTCCACCTGCCGGTTCAACATCAGCTGAGTCCATACACAACCAGTTACAGCAGGATGCAAACATACCTGAGAAATACACAGAAATACACACTGTCATTAGACATTCTTAATGTAAACTACCTGGTTAAACAGCCTTTTACATAATACTGAGATGTTCTGGTGAAGTCGGCGTTATATATAGTTCAAGAATCACAACTCTCATTTAATAAATCCAGTATAAAACCTTTGTGAAAGAGCACACTAATCTAAACTATAATAAAGTTTACACATAGTTTAAGAAAGTTAAGAAAGTGTTGTGTGTGTTGAGGGTTAGCCGAATGGACAAGTGGCTCTTGATAATTCGTACAAAAATTTAAGTTGTGTTTTAGGCTGTGCAGCTGTTGAGCGGTGAGCCAGGCTTCATTAAATTTAGCCATATGTTAAAGGAGGTTTGGCCCACGACGGTGAGGAACTATCAGGGCTTTACCTGAAGAGATTTAAAAGTATTTTACTGAGGAGAACTTTTACTTAAAGTATTTGTACACTATAACTGTGTTACTGCCACAAAAAATGTTTGTCAAAATACTTTTTCCATCTCATTCTCTTGCATAGACAACTGTTAGCCAAACTACATAGTTTTTGTGTTCCTGCCTCGTTATAAGACTTTTATAATGTAAACTACCAGGTTAAACAAACTTTTATATATAACTGAGATCTTCTGCTAAAGTCGGCGTTATATATATTTCAAGTAGCACAACTCTGATTTAATAAATCCGGTGTAAACAAAAATGCATGGAAGAGCAGACTAGTACTGTTCGTTACAAATGGAAACACATCTAACTACAATTAAGTTGTTTACATATAGTTAAAGAAAGTGTTTTGTGTTAAAATGTCAGCCAAATGGACAAGTTGCTCTTGACAATTCATTAAAAATATGAAGTTGTGTTTTAAGATGAGCAGCTGTTGAGCCAGGCTCCGTTAAATTTAGCCATATGTTAAAGGAGGTTTGGCCCATGACGGTGAGGAACTCTAATGACACTATCATCAGGAGATATAAGAAAGAACTTTACTGAGTTTAACTTTTACTTAAAAGTATTTGTACACTTAAACTGTGTTACTGCCACAAAGAAATTTGTCAAAATACTCTCTTTCGTTTGCGTAGAGAAGTGTAAGCCAAACTACATAGTAAAAACTGCCATTTTTGTGTTCCAGGCTCGTCATCAGAAATTTATAAAGGTAAACTACCAGGTTAAACATACGTTTACATATAACTGACATCTTCTGCTAAAGTCGGCGTTATATATATTTCAAGAAGCACAACTGTAATTTAATAAATCCGGTGTAAAAAAAAAAAGCATGGTAGAGCAGAGCAAACTAGTGTTGTTTTTTACTACTGCAAACAAATCTAAACTATAATCAAGTTCACATATACAGAAAGTGTTTTGTGTTGTAATATCAGCCGAATGGAAAAATGTATCATGAATATTCTTAAAAAAATATTAAGTTGTGTTTTTGGCTGAGCAGCTGTTGGAAGGAGGTTTGGATCACGACGGTGAGGAACTCTAATGAAACTTTCATCAGGACTTTATCTTAAGATATTTAACAGTATTTTACTGAGCAGAACTTTTACTTGAAAGTATTTGTACACTTAAACTGTGTTACTGCCACAAAAAAAGTCTAAATACTTTTCCCACCACTTTCGTTTGCACAAACTGCCAAACTACATAATGAAAACCGTCGTGTTTGTATTCATTTCTAGTAGTCAAGACATTTATCATGTAAACGACCTGGTAAAATATACTTGTTCGTAGTGCAAAGATTTTCTGATAAATCCGGCGTTGTGTTTCACGACGTAAGACTCTTGCATAATAAATAATCAGGTATTACTTTCAGGCAGACCAGCGTTGTTTGTTAGTAAAGTTACCATAAGAAACAGATGTCCAGTAAACCTAATTTAGCTAACGTTATAACAATAATCAAGTTTATATTTAATTAAGTACCATTTTACGTTACTTGTTGAACGAACGACTACGTGTCTCGAGATGACACATGAAAACACATGAGTTAAGTTGGAGGAGGATTGTCTGTTAACCGGGTGAGCCTGGTTCTTTTAAATCCAACAAAATGTTAACGGAGTCTGGCGTGTGGAGTCCGGAAACCCCTGGGCTGCTAGCAGGCTAAAGGCTAGGCTAACATTAGGCTAGTTAGTGAAGTGAATTAGTCTGAAGTTTAAAGAAACTAAAGATTTCAACAAACACAAACCAACATAGAAGACAACAGCAAGAAAAGTTCAACCAAGTTAAATTAACCCAGTTAACAGTTTAACCGACAACTAACCAGCAGGATTATCAACATAATGAACCGTCTTACCTGTTAACGACAGGGGATGCTACAGCTAGCAGTTAGCTAAATATCCGAGGAGTCGCTGGTAGTTTTAAAACACTAACACATCATCGCGAACTTGTGTTTTTCAGCTCTGCGGCTGGAGGTTTATCAGCATGACGAGTCCGCAGTCAGTCCTGAGGGTGAAACTGAAGAACACCAAAGAGTCGACGTGGAGACTGAAATGACAACACAACAGCTGAACCAGGAAGAGTTCAAACACACACTCGGGTTTATTCCTCTATCCCAGTGGGGACTTCCCACTGACATGATGCATTCCCTCAAAGTGGGGTCCGGGGCCCCTCAGGGGTCCGGGAGGCGATTCCAGGGGGCCTCCAGCAAAAAGGGAAATAGTTTATTTTCACTGAATTCCCATCCATATGGAACACAAAGACAGTTGTTTCAGACACTTTCTGTTGTTTCAGACACTTTCTGTTATAAAACATCTAAAAGCAAAAATGTAATCAGGTGGGCGACCCTGGGACAAAAGCTGTCAGGCACCAGCTCATAGTACCTTACTAATGTAAATGCTCCGTACTTGTATAGCGCCTTTCTAGTCTTTTCGACTACCCAAAGCGCTTTTACAGTAGATCTGCATTCACCAGTCACACACATTCATACACTGGCGGAATAGCCGCCAGGGGCAATTCGGGGTTCAGTATCTTGCCCAAGGACACTTCGACACGCAACCAGGGGGAGCCAGGGATTGAACTGCCGACCTTCCGATTAACGGCCAACCCGCTCTACCTCCTGAGCCACAGCCACCAGAGCACTGTGCTCCCAGAATGCAGGGTTACTTGTGGTTCCTAGAGTCTCCAAAAGTAGACTAGGAGCCAGAGCGTTCAGCTATCAAGCTCCTCTCCTGTAGAACCAGGTTCCAGTTTGGGTTCAGGAGGCAGACACCATCTCCACATTTAAGAGTAGGCTTAAGACTTTCCTCTTTGATAAAGCTTATAGTTAGGGCTGGCTCAGGTAGTCCTGAACCATCCCTTAGTTATGCTGCTATAGGCCTAGACTGCCGGGGGATTTCCCATGATGCACTGAGCTCCTCTCTCCTCTACTTTCTCTCCCTCTGTATGCAACCTCATCCCATTATTGCATGTTACTAACACAACTTCTCCCCTTTCTGGTAGTCTTGTGCTTTCTCGTCCCTCTCCTCTCTCCTCCTATCACTTCCTGCAGGTTTTCTGGCTCTGGAGCTGTGGAGTCTGGATCTGTGGTTGCGGGTCACCTGCTGCCCCTGTGTTCCTGCTCGACACCCTCTGCTACAACTATTGTTACCCCCAACCAGGGTTTTCCTGGCTCAGAGCGGGCCTTTGGGGGGACTCCTAGCGCGACAGTAAGCATGATGGTATGCGTTCAGTAAAGGCAATGACTTACCTAATGACTGAAATCTCTGCATTTTCTTGTTATTTCTGACCATTTGATAAACAAAATATATATAACATCAAATAGAAAGTATAATGTTAGTATAATAATACATTTACAGGTTACACTTTATTTGGATGATCTGCCTACAGATAGTTTATTAGTTGAGATTCAGCTGTTTCACAAATAAAACCTTTCTCTGATATCAGCCTACAGCGCTGTGGTGAAGGTTTGATTAGAGCCAATGTTTGTGTTTTCATTATAATTTCAGATAATAGTACAGGCTACTATAGCTTACCATTAGTAGCCTAATATTAATTCCAGTTGGACAAAACATGTCAAGAAAAATGTCTCTACATGGGGGTCAGTCACTGACTTGTTTAAATGCAAATGAACTTGTCAGAAATAAAAACTGTGCATACAGAACGACAAGTTAAACATTTCTAAAGTTTGCTGTAGCGCCTCAAACTTTTTTCTGCTCGAGGTTTCTGCCTCTTAAAGGAAGTTTTTCCTTGCCTCTGTCTCCTAGTGCTGCTCTTGGTGGGAACTGTTGGGCTTCTGTAAATATCATCACAGAGTACGGTCTAGACCTGCTCTTTATGAAAAGAGATAACTGTTGTTGTGATTTGGCGCTATATAAATAAAACTGAATTAAAAGTGTCATTTAAAACGGGGACGCTGAGGACATGTTTTCTTAACTTTTTAAAAGCATTTGCTAAAAATGTTCTGAAAATAGTTTGCAACAAGAAATGGACAAATACAAAGCCAATGGAAGAATAAGACAGACAACGAAATGCAGAAAAAAACAAGCTGCTGATAACTGCATTATAGGTTTTTATATTTTGAATAGTCACCTTCCACTTTAATTTGTGTTTCCCTTTATATGAATACAGACAATTTGTGGAGAAATTGTGCCCCCTAATCTGAGCCCTTACGCCTCCACCACTTTTTAACGCAAAGAAAGGTTTATCTGCACAATTAGAAAACATACAATGCAATGAAAATATAGAAGAAACAAATGTGCATTTTCCAAAAAAGTAGCTTGACGCCATTTCTTTTTGGCCAAGTTTCCCGTTCTTTCCCTGTGAACGTGACAAAAGAAGAAGGAAGACTAAATCAGGCCTGCATGTGTGCTGACTCAGCAGGGACGATTTTAAATGAAAAGAGTTGATCTACAGGAGAAACAGATCTGAGAGCTGCACTGACTTAGATTCTGTCAAAGGTTCAGAGTTTGAACTGTCACCTTCCATTTTTATAAATAAAAACATTTCCACCATAAATTGGTGCAGAAGAATTCACCAGAATGCAGGAAAATAACTGTTTAATGCACAAAATCTGATGTGGGAGGACCCGCAGATCTAATCTGAGTCCTAACGTCCCCACCACTTTTAAACTGAATCACCACCTGGACCCTGAAACCAAGACTTGACCCTCAAAAAGCCTTTTAAACTTCTAAAAGCTATTTATAACATACTACTTTATAGCACTGAAATATTTTACTTTGAAAATCTTTTATCTGAATTCTCCTCTCTGAAAGTTTCAGAAAACTTTATTTAAACTTTATTATTTAAATTATTGGATCAGGATCTGAATAAAGGCTAACTTCAGGTTGATTGATTACCGAGTGATCCAGATCAGAATGTTGACGATATCTGTGGGTTTTTCAAAGCTTTTCTTCAAATTTTTATCTGGACTTTTTGTCAGGGCAACGCCCCAAACCCACCACCTTTTAGCATGAATCACCACATTTACATTTACTCATTTAGCTGACGCTTTTATCCAAAGCGACTTACAATTGCTATACATGTCAGAGGTCGCACGCCTCTGGAGCAACGAGGGGTTACATTGGTGGATGTCTCACACTGGGGGATTGAACCCAGGTCTCTCACACCAAAGGCAGGCATCATATCCACTGCACCATCACCACCACCCAATTTAAAATGAAAGAGTGATGATGTAATCAGGATTTAAGTAAAAATAGAGTTACTGATACTCAAAACAGATGTGCACATGCAGCCTGCTCACTGTCTTTCTTTTACCTACTTCTTCAGCTTTCTTTTTTTTTAGCTCACTTGTTGGATTGTTTGTTTACCAGTATTTTAATCAACAGCCTCTTTAAAAATGCAAGTCGACAGAGTTTTTCTTCTTTTTCACTCAGTCAAGGCACTTTCACTACTATTTAGTCTGGTCTAGATCCTTTTCACTGTCGCCCCGGTGAAATGATCCTGACCCCTTGTTGCCCTTTTTAACACCCTGTTCTCACTCTGAAGTCGTCCCATCTGGGTGCATGATGGATGCTAGCAGCTGCAGTCTGTCCTGGGTCTCAAATCTGATATAGAAATCGGTCAGTTCCCGGTGATCGGGGGCCTTTTGCTCGAGTCCATTTGGCCATTAACTTCACAGTTTGTTGTGGTGATTTGAAGTGGCTTCCCTTAGGAGTTGATTAATCTCCTTCTGTATTTCAGCTGCATTCAAACATCTTCTACAGGCGGCCCTTTTTCTTGCTAATGCAGTCTTTCACTTCCTTTGTTATCTAAGTTTGTTGTTGGGGTACACATCAATCCTGTGCAGGTGAAACATGCGTTCAGTGTCTCTTCACACCACACAGTCCCTGCTCTGAGCTCAGACTTATATGTGGGAGTTAAAAGGACTGTCCTGTGGTTGGAATTAGCCGGTGGTGGTTTAGATTTGGCTGTGTGTGCTCTTTTGACATTACCATAGCACTTACTGTCACGAGTTGTGCATGTGACATACCGATTGGAACCTGGGAGAGATGGTTGAAGTCTGCTCCAGGGGTGCGTTGCAGTCGGTGGTGTATACGCAGGCTGCGGCTCGAGCTGCATTCCCGCTGGGTGGAACACACGCAGCACATATGCTAATGTTCCCGAACTCCCTCGTGCTCACGCAGAGAAGTTTGCCGTCAGGGTTAAATCTCTCTAACTGTAAACTGCGTGCACCACAAGATCTGTCCTTCCCTGAGGTTTCACTTCTGTCCGCTCGGAGGAAGGAAAATCCTTCAACTTCACCCAAGGAGTCGCCGATATCTTTGTGGAGCCAGGTTCTTGTCAGCACCGTGATACTCGATTCTCAATATTCAAAACACGTCCTGGCGTTGAAGCGGCGGTCCTTTGTTTTACCATGGAGTGACCTGGCGTTGCAAAGTTTGATGGAGGGAATTGGAGTTCGGTTCCTCTGTCGTCTGCCTCCTCTCCGTTAGCGCCTGTGCCAAAGTTTCACGGCTTGGGGCAGGTCTGTGGTTGAGGTGAATCCAGCGGAGAGACGGCAGTGCCTCTCTGGTGCAGGAGATTCACGGCTGGAAGGCAACGCCGTCCCCAAATGTTTGGCATGGTGAGAAGCACGCCAGTGAAATCGGTGACAGACACAAAATTGTGCAAAAGTTGTCATGAGTCCAGTTGTCCAAAACTCTAAACTGGGATACTAAAAACCAGATTAAACAATAAAACATGAGAAAAACTGTAAAAATACTCTTACTCTATACTGTTACATGTAAAAGTCCTGCTTTTAAAATGTTACTTAAGTAAAAGTATAATAAGGAAAATGCTTTAAAGCAGTAAATTTACCCCATTGATGCCATACATGCGATTAGCTCTTACTAGTAGGGGAGAGCGGGGTGAGTTGAGCCAGTTTTTACTTGAGGTGTCTTTAAAGGGAGGACATGACAGTAAGGTCTCCAACTAAAACATGTGCATATATTTTAGGATTTGGTGCGTCCCTGGGAACAATCAATTTGGATCTAAAATAAACTGGAGAAAAAAACAAAACAGAGGACTCTTGGCTCAACTTGCCCCATGTGAGGGGTAAGTTGAGCCACATGGGGGTCGAGGACATCGATGTCAGAGAAGCTGATAAATGAGGTG